ATAAGTTTACATGTCAACGGCTAGGTGGGCTTGGGACAAGTAGAGGACTCTCAGAGGCTGCTCTCTCCATAAATCTTTGATCTCCTTTATATATATCCTTGATCATCATTTATATTTGATCTGGATATATATTTATGCTCCATCTTTTATTTATATAACTGGGTGATCACCTCTTTGGCTAGTTGCTCCGCATGTTGTTCAACTAAGGACGGCTGGCCGATGACCGGGCCATTTTGGCTCAAGAAGGAGTGATCACCAGGCTTGATTTTTGTGCCCCTTAGATCGTGTGATTGGGCCTGGGATTTTGATCACTCCTAGGATGTCTAATTCCAAAGCTTCTGTTTTTCCACCTGCTCTGAGCCGTCAATTTGCAATGGCTGCTGCTCGTTCCAGTGACCAGGGGGTTGATCAGGTGCGCCCTGATGACAGTGCCAGTGGTGTGGGCTCACAGGCCTCATGGAGTGTGGTTCCACCTGATGCTCCAGAGGCTCCTGTCCAGCCTGCTCAGGCACCTGAAGCACCCCCTGGGATCGACAAGACAGTTTGGGACGAGGACTCCGATGATGACGTTCCCCCAGCCAACTGGTCGGCGTATGCAGCAGCAGAAGGTTCTAATGCAGGCTGGGCTCCAGCCACGGAGGCTGCAAAGCACTTGGTCGGCAACAAGGAGAAGCAGACGGCCAAGCTTGCTCAGCAAAAAGCGAGGGCAAAGGCTCGAGGCCACAAGGCCGTTCGTTGGGGCCAGATGCCAGTGGCGGGAGCGCTCAACCCGCAGAACTACCAGCTCCCACCTTTCATCAAGCAGCTGGGCTCTGGGAATGAAGAACGGTCGGTGTTGATTCTGGATGCAAGAGATCAACGCATCCAGAGTCCCTATCAAGGGTGGCTCTTGGACGAGATCCTGCTCAACGCACAATCGGGCATCAATATCCTGTCAGATCGTCAATTGGTTCGTTCTCCTGCCACAGGATACCACATGAACCTCTTTTACGTCAGGGCGATCGATGGGTACAAGCTGATTGTGGTTGGGTCTATGACATCTTATGGATCGGTGCCATGCGCCCGGTGGGACTCTTTGACAGGGTCAGTGCTCTCGCACCCGGCGTTCCAGCCATTTCGGTGGCCCATCATGCGTGATGATTCATCAACTTGGGTGGACGTCAAGGTGAAGATCGAGGGCTACCTGCTCTTGCACTTGGAGCTCCGTGGATATCGTTCAGATCAGGACATGTCCGTGCAGCTCAACTACATCAACGAGGGTCTGGTGATGACGATCAAGGAGGTGCTCTTTGTGCCGTCAGTCGCTGTGACGATCTTCCAAGGGTGGAGGGTTGTGGCAACCTCGTTCGAGGTAGGTGGGCGGCTCTACGTGTGCAGCGAAGGCGGAGTTGTGGTGGCGCTGGATCATCCCTTGTGCCACTTTGAGGTCAGGATGACAGCCCTGTCCTCAGCTGACTCGATCGGCATGGATGCTGATCGCTTGGAGTTCCGCTTTCGCACCTCAGGGGACAAGATTGATGTGGCTTGCTCGCAGGTGATGGTGCCCTCAACGTGGCTTGTTCTGTCACGAGTTTCGGGGCCAACGCTCATCCAGAATGCGCGCTGGTGCCGCGATCGACAGGCACGAGTGGAGGGTCCTGACCAGACGATGCAGATGAGCCAGCTGGCTGGCATCCATGCTCACTGGACGGCGGCCACAGAGGCGTTCACGCTCGAGGAGACGGGCCCCAGGGTCGGAGCAGTGGCTGTCGACACCCATGTCGACAATTTTCATTTGACTTGTGAATCGCCATTGTTCAAGTCTGAGATGGTGATCGTCCCCAAGGAAGCCTTGGCGCTCCAGTACCACGACCGTGGCGATGAGCAAGCGATGATCGTGGTGCCGCCAATTGCAGGTGGTCCTGCAGCTATTCCTGTGGAAAATGCTTTGGGCTCTCTGAAGGCATTGACGGGTTCGGCTGGGGCCCCAGCCCAGGGTGATGCGATTGTTGCGGCAGAGAGCTCAGCCAGTGAGAGTGGTCTGACGCCATCAGCTCCAGCTACGGGTGCTCGAACCTTGCAGGTGCAGCGCCGGTCGTTGGAGGCGAGGCAGAGAGAGAATGTGGCAGTGGCAGCTCTGCCACCCCAGGCATTTGTCGCTCAAGTTGATCAAGTGCTGCAAGGGTTGGGAGCTCAAGGATCTACCACTTCAGTGCCTCGTTCGTTTGGCCCTCCTCCAGTGATTGAAGAAGCGGAGGAATCCCTTTTGTGAAGTTTGATCGCTTCTGAAGCAGATCCGATCGTGCCATAAAATGGCGGAATAGCTCTTCGAGCCAAACTTTCGGCCGACAGGCTGCACAGTGCTCAGCGTGACAAAAAGAAGGGTTCAGGGTCGAGCCTGGCAAGCGGGAAGTTTGTCTTGTGCTTGGCTTGTTCATTGAACCCGCACAGCTGACCCCAGTTTATTTATTTTATTTGATCACCCCGAATGCCCCCTTGTTCTGGGATGACCGCCCTGCTCAGGTATGTACCTCAGTCGGGGTTACGGATTCTCAGATCGGGGGTGAGGCAGAGCGACAGACTCTTAACACTGAGTCAGTCATTTGCTTCGGCCTGATCAGGTCAATAGGTTTCTCATTGAAGGGGGTTTCAGTAGGTCGGCAATATTTCTCTGTGATTTCAACTTTTTGTCAAGTTGCTGAATCCGCTCGGCCAATGCATTATTTTCTCATTGTTTTGTTTACCTTTTGCATGTTCATGTTGTGCACATATTCATCTGCCACTGCCACATGGTCATGCTTTCACCCAACCGGCCAACCGTGCTCAGGTTGGGCACCCAGTGGGTTGTGGGTCCCTAGATCGGGAGTGAAGCAGAGCGCAGACCTATTTTGTGGGTCAGTCATTTGCTTCTGCCTGATCAGAATGTGTTGGGTGAGTGCGTAGGTGTGAAGGTCTGAATTTTAGTTTTCGTGTGACCGTCATACTGGCGCTCATTTCCTGTGAACATTTTTGCTGATCCCTTGCTTGGTTTCTGTAGCGACAACTACAATGGCTCAGAGTGCCGAAAGATGGTCATCAAAAATTTTAGCACTGCCTGTGTTCACAGATGCTTTTGCCCAGGCGGTGCAAGCTTCACCGTTCGGCAACTTAGCGTTTGTGTCTGCCATGGAAGTGCAAACGGCACAGGAGTTTGCAATGAAGGTCAGTGAGTGGGCACCACAGCTCGATGAGTCAGTTCGTGATGACCTGCTGCGCTCATCCTTCATGCTCGAACAGTTTTGGTTGTTGGCTGGTTCTGTGGAGAAAGCTTTCTTTGAATCAACTGCACTGCAACTGGGGTTTGGGCTCTGTGAGATGTCTGCTCCCCCTATTAGCTCTGAGACAGCTAGGGCTCGAAGGGTGGGTGCCATTAAGGCACTGACAGACAGATCTAGGCCCCCCAGAAAGATCCTGAAAGCTACCCCTGATGAGCAGTCCAACACCCCGCTGCTCGACCAGGAAAATGCAGCAAGATGGAAGTGGGCTGCTCGCCTGGAGGAGATCGGCAAAGCGGCTGGGGCCTACTCTAAGCTGCTCATGGAGACAGCGAATGAGAGTGGCCTTTCCCCTGCTGAAGTGGCTCGGCTGCGGCAACTAGTGCTCTCCTCAGGCGCTCCTAGAACCATGGCTGCGCATATTTCAAACTGGGAAAGGTTTGCTGAATGGGCTAGGTCGAAAGACATTGCTATTTTTCCTTTAGATAGCTCTAAGTTAGTTCGGTATGCCCTTCATTTGGACAATTTAGAGTGTGGGCCGTCGGTTGTTCCGACCTTTAGAACGTCGGTTAAGTGGATCACGGCCAAGCTGGCGATCGATTGTCCAGACGTGGATCATCCTGGCTTGCTAGCAATCCAAGCCGATATCATCAACAAGCGCGCTCGCACTCTGAAGGAAGCAGTTCCAATCCCTACACAAGTGGTCAGATGTTTTGAGCTCCTGGTTGTGGACACCAACGAGCCAGATCCCACTAGATTGTTTGTGTGGTGGTGGCTCTGTATGGTGTTCGCTTCCTTGCGTTTTGACGACGCGATCCATGTCAAGCCCAACGAGCTCGTCTTGAATGAAGAGGGGATGTTTGGCGTGGCATGGCAAACTAAGGTCGAACGCAAACGTAGAGGCACCAAGTTCGTTGTGCCGCACGTGAGCTTTTCAGGTGTTGATTGGCTTCGGGCAGGCTGGCAGTTGCTCATGCAGGAGGACCTTGAGCGGGACTTCTGGATCAGGAACCTGAACACAAGGGAACAGTTCCAGGCAGCCCCAGCCAACTACCAGCGCTCGGTTCAGTGGCTCAAGTTCCTTGGGCGCTATGCGGTCGAGCACTACCACGAAGGGGCCCATGAGGAGTTCAAAGAGCTTGGTGCAGTGGTCAACAAACTGACAGCTCACTCAGCCAGGGTCACCATGTTGGATGCAGCTGTTCATGCAGGCCGGAGCTCTGAAGAGATTGGTCTTCAGGCGAATTGGAAGAACCCGGGGCCGCTTGTTCTGAAGTACACCCGCAACAGGTCGGCCATTCCGGCCAAGATGGTCCAACAGCTCGTGCAGGACATGCTAGTGCACCAGCACCCCCAAGTTAGCTCTGAGGAGGTGGAGTTGGATTCGTATGATCCCGCAGCTTTGGACCAGATCCAGTTCTTCACAAAGTCCGACGGGCCATCGTCCTCCTATGACTATCGGTTCCATTGCACTGCTCGTGAAGATAGCACGGTCATTGCATGTGGCCGCATCGACCTGGAGGCGTGCACCAATGTGGGCTCTTACCTCCCGGACCGTTCGGTGCTCTGCAAGCATTGCGCTCGGGCAAGGCCGGAAGTGTTGGAGGCCTACGAGCGTGGGCAGTGATCCTTGGCTGAATGTGTTCATACATGTGATTTCTGTCATCGCCTCATATTTGTCACCTCATCCGCTCATTTGATTTTATTTTGACACCAAAGAAGTTTTGCTCAAAGTTTTTCAAAGTGAAATTCTCCGCTGCCAACACAATGGTCGATCGCACTGAATACAAAGATACGCATGTGCCAGACCTGGCAGTTCGCCAAGTGTTCGGGCGCCAGCGAGTCAAATCAGAGCTGTGCAAATTGGCCGCCGATGCGGGGTTGCTCACAGTCGAGACCTTCGCCATGCTCGGCGATGACATCGCAGCCGTCAAGGCTACTTTGAAGGCTATGATCCCAGACGCAGCCTCGCTCGGCACTGACGTTCCAGAACAAGAGCTCGCGCTGACTTCTCTGGCGGCGGTCTGGAAGACATGCAGCACTATGCAAGATCATTTCGCTACTCGGCGAGCCAAGATGGAAGAAGATCCATCAAAGGTTCCAGAGATTCCCGGAGAAGATCATGCAGAATTTCGTGAAGTTTTTGTCTCTCGACACCCTGACGTGCTCCTCCCTATGCATCGGGAGCCACATCGCAAGTTTGTTGAGAGAGTTCAGCGCGACTTCCTTGTGCACGGCTTCGTCCACTTCTACGAAGTCGGAGAGATCAGGACGCGAAATGAGCAGATCGCACAGAAGACAGGGCTGACGAAGAACGCAGAAGATCTGCTCCGTGTCGTCATGGTCGATCAACCTTCTGCTGCAAGCTCAGAGTCTCAGGTCATGGACAAGTTGCACGCATTCTTCATCACGCTCGAGTACCTCAACATTTGTGAGTTCTCGGTCAAGGCAGGCCCCTTGAAGTACCTGTCTGAGCTCGAAGAATGGCGCCAAGAGAACCGGGGCCTGGCGCTCCTGCTCACCGTGGATACTCTGATCCGCAAGAAGGTGCACCGTGTCAGTTCTGATCAGCGCAAGCAGTTCAGCACTTTCTCCAAGGCGTTGCTCGAAGTGCTCACCAACCATAAGCAGTTATGGAACGATGCTCGTTCAAGCGCAGAGCTCGACAAGTTCAAGCAGGCTGCCCACACAGCTGAGCCAATCACGCCTAAGAAGCGCTCACGGTCAAGCTCAGCAGATGCTCCTAGGGCCACCCCGAAGTCCAAGAAGAACAAAGCTCGGCGGGAGCGCCAGAAGGCCCAGCTCAAGAAGGCAAAGGAGGTGCTCAACAATTCTCCCGTCAAAGGGAGCAAGCCAGGTGCCGCTCGCACCACCAAAGATGAGCGGGTACCCTCGAAGGAGTGGGCGTCAATCACCGCCTTCAAGTACTCAGGCGCTCGCCGCTGTCCTTTCTTCAATTGCTCCCTGGGCTGCCGATTCGGTGATCAATGCAAGCTCAAGCACGCTTGCGTTGAATGTGGCAAGGATCATCCTTGGCACGGCAACCACTGACGCGCTCATGGGCCTGCCCAGGTGGCTCCCTCGCCACCACCTGGGGATTGGATCGGCGAGGCCAGTGGCACGAATGATGCTCATGCGTCCCAGGAGGCTGGGCAGACAGTGCCACCGCTGAAGCAGATGGCTATTCCACAGTGGGATGAGGTTGAGGCTGACCTTCAGGCCTTGAAGGCCCAAGCCCCCTTTTTCTTGGAGCTCTTTGCCGGGGAAGCAGGCATCACGGAGGCCGTTCATTTGCAAGGGATCTCTGTGCTGCCGCCAGTAGACATCACTCCTGGCAAGCTTGTTCAGCAACCCAAGGATATTCTGGATCTGCAGTTCTGGAAGTTGGTGTTGGACATCCTGGCCATGGGCATCGTGCTCTTCCTGCACTGTGGCACACCGTGCAACACGTTCACGGCAGCTCGCAAGCTCGATGGCGGGCCACCGCCACTTCGCTCGGCAGCGGCTCCATTGGGTCTGGACGGGCTCAGCTGGGCTGATCAGTTACTGGTTTTTCTTGGTAATCTTTTTCTTGAACGTACGGTTGAGGCATGTGTTTTGGTTTTTAATGTTGGTGGGGATTTCTTAATTGAAAACCCCCTGCTTAGCTTGCTCTGGCTCACCCCTCAAATTGGTGACCTGATCCGAGCAACCAGAGCATTCGCCCTCGACTGTGATCAGTGTGCGTTCGGCACTCCTTGGAAGAAGCCAACTCGCTTTTTGTGTTCCACCCAGGCGCTGGATGACCTCTGTGTTCAGTGCCCTGGCACACACAAGCATGAGAAGCTCCAAGGCAAAGTGTGGCATGAGACCTTGCAACGCGGGGTCTTTCGCACCAAGGGCGCTCAGGTTTACCCTTGGATTCTGTGCTCGTGTATTGCCGTGAATATCAAAGAAGTGATGCTACGCTCCCTGCGGCATCTTCATGCCTCCTTTGCATTGGAGGTGCCAGCGGCGGATCGCAAGCGTGCGTTGCTCTCTGGCAAGCCCTGGGCGGTTCATCGCCAAGCTGCGACAGCTCAGAAGGCTCTACAAGCGGGTTACCAGCTCAAGCGCGGTGCTACAAAACCCTTGCTGGAAGTAGAACTTGAGCCGGGGCAAGCAGTGCAGTGGGTGCTCTCAGTCATCCACCCCTTTACTTGCTCAGCGGCTTTGCCTGGTGCGCTCGAGCGTGCGCTAGTGCAAGTGGCGACTGCTCCTGCGGCAGTGGTGCAGCAGCGGGCTCAGCTCTTGCAGTTCTGGCACCAGCGAGCTCTGGCTTTGTTGCCCCGGTCCGTTGAGCTGATCATGCAACAACCGGATCCGGCTTTGCGGAAACTGCTGCTCAACTGCGACCACCCCGCCCAGGCCGTTTTGGGCCGGGTATGCCATGTGGCGCTCTACGAGGAAATGCTCGCTGCTTGTGGCTCTGTTGATCGCGCATTGCCCAGCTTGCTGCTGCAAGGCTTCCCGATCGTTGGGCCTATCAGCCAGGCGGGGCGTTGGCCGCCCTACGACAAGCCTCAGAAAGTTTTGTCAGTTCAACATGCTTTGGATAGGGCCTGGGATCTGCGCTCTAAGATCGTGCAGAGAGTGAGGGCTGTCCCTGTCACTGAGAATTTGGTCAAGATCTGGGAGGCTACACTTGAAGATGTTCAGGAAGGCTCATGCTTGGGCCCTTTTGCTACAGAACAAGAGATCACAGAACTCCTAGGCCAAGATGACTGGATCCCGACACAAAGGTTCGAGGTCGTGCAGAAGAACAAGGTCAGGGGCTGCGATAGTGCTACGACCAACTTGATCAATCAAATCACAGAGATCAAAGAGAAGCTGCAACTGCCTTCGACTGACTCGAACGTGGCTGCGATCAGGAAGTTGAGGACGTTGGCTCCTGAAGATGATCTGCAAGGTTGGGTATTGGATGAGAGGAAGGCATACCGCCAGATCGCGGTGCGACCAGATCATCGCAAGTTTTCCGTGATCTGCTTGAAATCCCCGTGCTCGAGGCAACCTGCTTTCTTTGTCATGGTAGGCCACTCGTTCGGCCTGGTGTCAGCGGTGTATAACTACAACAGATGCTCTGCTGCCATCAACGAGTTCCTTGTCTCGATCTTTGGTCTGGTGGCTTTCAGCTTCTATGACGACAAGTATGGATTTGAGACGTCGCGATCGGCGGCTAGCGCTCGACATGTTGCGGAATGTGTTCACTGGTGGTTAGGTGCAAGCTTTGATCAGAAGAAGCTCCAGTTGTCGGAGACGCCGACCATCTTGGGGGTCACTTACAACCTCAAAGATCTTCAACTTGAGATCAAAGCAGAGAGGAAGGTTGACCTCCTTGATGAGATTGACTCCATCTTGGCTGCAGGCTGTCTGGATCCTGGTTCGGCTGGCAAGCTCAAGGGCAAGCTCATGTTCGGCGCTTCGCAACTATGGGGCAAAGTGGGCCGTGCATTTTTGAGGCCTATTTCTGAGAGGCAGTATTTTAAGTTTCCTCATAATCAAGAGTTCAAATTAGACCCCCCTCTGGTTGAATCCCTTGTTCAGTGGAGAAAGTTGATCGAGGCAGGGCCACCGCGGCCGATCGATTTAGCGTGCGGTAGGCTTGCTGACGCTGTTATTTTCACTGACGGGTTCACACCAGATCCGAGGTCCAGCGATCGGTCTCCTGATCGGATCGGGGGTGTGTTGTTTGATCGACGTTTGAAACAGCCTAGGCAATTCACTGCTGAAGTTCCGGCATGGATCAAAGAACAGTGGCTCGAACGAACCACGCAGATCATGCCTATCGAAATGATTGCTCCAGTGGTTGCTTTGAGCTCTTTTTCAGATCGCGTAGTAGGTGCTGATATCATTTTGCTTATCGACTCGGAAGCAGTCGAAGCTGCGCTCGTGAAGGGCTACTCTAGTCGGGAAGACATGTGTCATATCATTTCGGTCTTTTGGGATCTGGCTCTTGAAATGCGATGCCGTATCTTTATCGACCGAGTTTCCACGGACGCCAATCCAGCTGATTGGCCGCCTCGTTCGAGACTTGACATAGGCGAGCGTGCTGGATGGAGCACCATTGATCCAGTATGGCCGAAGGCTTTTGATCGGAAAGTCTAGGGCCTGGGTGTTTTTCCATCTGTCTATTTGATCTGCTTCAGGGATGTTTACAGGCCGTTTTGCTCTGACCTCTTTGAACATTTGTGACAGAAGCTGCTCTGGCCTGTTTTCCCTGTTTTGATGTAATGCAGTTCGAATTTGACTGTTTGCGTCTGAATCTATCGATGTGGATCGGCTGCTCGCCCCCACGCCTTGAGCAGTCCAAAACGAAGGAGGTCGCCGGTGGAGTGCTCAGGGTTCTGTGTTGGAGATTGTTTTTGATTTTTCATTTCTATTTTGGAAAGATTGATGGAAGAGAAATGGAACTGTTCAGTTCCATGTGTAAGCCTGCAGTGAGTCGTTTACATGTCAACGGCTAGGTGGGCTTGGGACAAGTAGAGGACTCTCAGAGGCTGCTCTCTCCATAAATCTTTGATCTCCTTTATATATCCTTGATCATCATTTATATTTGATCTGGATATATATTTATGCTCCATCTTTTATTTATATAACTGGGTGATCACCTCTTTGGCTAGTTGCTCCGCATGTTGTTCAACTAAGGACGGCTGGCCGATGACCGGGCCATTTTGGCTCCAAGAAGGAGTGATCACCAGGCTTGATTTTTGTCCCTTCCCGCCCGCCCTGGGTGAAATCCTGGGGCGGGTTGGAACCAACCCGCTGCTCTAGTGACAGCTGTGCTTGGAAGCCGGGTGTTTTTCCATCTGTCTATTTGATCTGCTTCAGGGATGTTTACAGGCCGTTTTGCTCTGACCTCTTTGAACATTTGTGACAGAAGCTGCTCTGGCCTGTTTTCCCTGTTTTGATGTAATGCAGTTCGAATTTGACTGTTTGCGTCTGAATCTATCGATGTGGATCGGCTGCTCGCCCCCACGCCTTGAGCAGTCCAAAACGAAGGAGGTCGCCGGTGGAGTGCTCAGGGTTCTGTGTTGGAGATTGTTTTTGATTTTTCATTTCTATTTTGGAAAGATTGATGGAAGAGAAATGGAACTGTTCAGTTCCATGTGTAAGCCTGCAGTGAGTCTTAACTATATTAATGATATTTATAATAATATATATATGTAATATTTTATATATCATATACAGATTATATATATATTATAAAATATGTTATATATATAATATCTATAATATATATTACGGTAGATATATTTGCGAATGGGGTGTAGGCTACGGAATACTACACACTCCCATGTAATATAGCCCTTAGTTATCCACGGCCAGGGGATGCATCTATTTGCTCCTTTGGCTCAAGACAACTGCCAGCTCCGTGAGAAAATCGAGCTATGCCGAAACTGCCGCTCCTTAGTCGTCGTCAGTGAGAGAGAGCAACCACATTCTTGCACAACCAGGGACATATAATCGGGGAGATAACCTCCGATTCACAGGTTATCAGCCGTAGGACTCCTACGGAGCCTACGAGCGGGTAGCCGCGGGCCTTACAGATGACTGAACAGGATAGCAGTGATAACGCATTTTCTTTCTCTGGACATGCCGTTGCACCAGCTGCCGGCACGCAGTCAAATTCTTCACAGAGTATCGACACTGGTGGAAGCGATGCCTCAGAACTGAGAACGAGCCAACCCAGGCGACCTCTGGTTGCTCCTAGAGGGAGACAAATTTCGACAATGCAAGCAATTGAAGATAGGGACAGCACACCTGGAAAGAGAAGATCATCTGCACGACAATTGTCGCCTCCGATGACTCCAAGGACTAAGGCAAAGACTACGTCGTCGAATCCGCCTTCACCGATTCAGGACGCTACTCCATCAGGGACAGGATCTTATCAGCAAGTGAACGCCCCGTCGAGTGGTAGCGACATCTTCACTGCCTATCAGAGCGAATTAGCTGAATACAAAACATCACTGGAAAAGGCTACTGAAGAAGAATCCGTACTTCAGGCAAGATTGACTGAGACGACAGCATATGCCTATCAACAATTTAATTTCCTGGAAAGCACCACTCATCAAGAGATGATGTCGATGACCGAACAACTCCAGATGCTGAACTTCGAATTACAGGCTGCACAACAAGAAGATGAAGGTGCGACCTACAGGATCGAAGAGTTGGAGAGGTATCAGACTATGTCGAATGAAGCTGCATCTCATTTGGAATTCAAATATTCACGACTACGTTCGGAATTCGATGAACAAATGGGACAAGCGAACGCAATTATGGTACATGTGGGCGCTGATGCGAATGCTCACATCAATCAACTCAGACTGGAACTAGAAAACGCAGAGATGAATGCAAAGCAAGAAGCTCTGGCGGTCGGCTACGCTAATGACCAGACATGTGCTTTACAGATCGAGATGCTCGAGGTTGCCAATCAAAACCAGACAATGAAGCACACCATGGCCATGAACGTCAGACGACTGGAAACTGAGCTCGATGCTGCTGACATGAAGAGGGACGAGATCATGAAGGAGTTCCGTAGTAACATAAGATCTGAACATGACCGTTATGCAGAATGTGAACATCATTTGGCTTTGGAAGAATCGCAACTTCGATTGCAGGTGATGCACAATGAGAACTTACAATCTCGACTAGCGACTTCTGAGAGCAAGGTTTCTGAAGAATCTCTAGCTGAATCAAGTGGCATGCGGGACATGAGGATAATGGGACTACGTTCGGAACTACACATGAAACAAAGTCTTTTGGATCGAATGCAACAACAACTGACTGAATCGAAGAATCAGTATCATGAACTTTCCTGTCAACAAGCCAGAAGATCCTCGCCAAGCAGATCACCGCATGGAGCAGCACTACATGAGATGTATATGCAAGCTGTGCGTGAGCGTGACAAATTAAAGGAATCCAAGGCTGAAGTTGACAAGTTGTACTTACAAAATAGAACTGAACTCATTGACACTGAGAACCTGCTCAAGACCTTCCAGCAACATTTCGATGAAACTGGTAAGAAATATCAAGATGCTCTGAACAAGATCGATCACATGAGTAGCAATCCGAATGTGACAAGTAATTCTTCTTCATCATTGAATAGACCGACTACATTACATGGGTACCCCAGTAATGCTATGCCTCGGAATGAATGTGAAGAGAAGTGTGCCAAACTAAAAGCAGAGCTGGACGAGATGAAGCAAGAGAGGAACGCTGAAGTTCGAAATCTTCAAGATGAACTGAAGAAGATGGAAGATCGGAAAGACTAATTACAAGAACAATTTCTCTCAAGCTGAAGATCGCGCCAATGATGAAGAGCAGGAATACCGAGCCGAAGCTGAAGCCTTCGAGAAGCTCAGGAACGAGTACAACACCAATGTCAAGGAGTTGGAGAACCTTGAGAGGGATAGATCTAAGTCATCCATATCTCTAAGAGAAGCCGAAAAGATCAGCCTCCAACCCTGGCCTAAGACCACTGAACTTTCATCTTGGAAGGGAAGTGTCGTTCATGAAGTTTGTGTTGCAAGTGGAGATCGAAACTATGAAGATTGGAAAGCGTGGCTAGCTCCGTGTCTTGCAGATCAACCTGACTTGGAGGCTCTGGCCAAAGCACCCGATGTGAGATTCCAATCCATTGATGCCAAGCTCTCCAATGCCTTGAGGAAAGTCATTGACAATGCTGGGGACAAGTCCATGCAAGTGAAGTATGACATGTCCATGAAGAACCAAATGTATGGGAGAAGTGGGGACTTCATCAAGGGACGAGAACTATTCGCAATGATATTGATTAGCTTCAAGTCACCTGACCACACCGAAGTTCTCTACAACGCCCATCATTTGTACATGTTCAACTACTATGGGGATGACCAACTTGAGGCTTTCTACAACAAATGGCTTGACATCGTATACAACATGAAACATGATGACCTGCCTTCTGATAATTCCCTGCGTGACACATTGTTCCGGAAGATTGAACATTCAAAGCTTATGGCTTTTGATATCAACCGATACAAGACCTATGATGAAGGGCATCCTGAGAAGACCTATGCTTCCCTAACTGGCATGATCAAAGGGTACATAGCGCGAGGAAAGCAAGAACGACTGTTGAAAGATCGAGAACGTGCAGTGAAACTGTCATTGTCCTCTAACAAGACGACACCTGCCCTGGAAGATGCTGACAAACCTGCTGCTCCCATCAAAACCAAGAAGGAGAATGAAGCAGCTGCATCGTCTACAGGTGATCCTCCCAAACGACCTAAAGCGAAAGCGAAGAGTGAAGCTGCATCAGTACTTCCAACACCTTCTCCGAAATCTCATGCCGACAAGAACAACAAGAAAGGGAAAGGTGGGAAGGGAAGATCATCTTCACCCGTTGACAAGAAGAAGATTTTCTGCAATTACTTCTTCAATAAAGGAGGATGCAACAAAGGTGACAAATGTCTTTACAGTCATTCTCAGAAGGTCTATGATGCCAAGATGAAAGGTAAGAAAGGCAGAAGCGGAAGCCGAGACTCATCAAGGGGGAAAAGTAAAGGAAGTTCATCTTCAGCTGGACCCAGAAAGAAGATATGTTGGAATTGGCAGAAGGGTACCTGCACGTTCGGAAGCAAATGTAAATTCCTACATGCGGACCAATCACCTTCAGCATCTTCAGAAAGAACCAGCAAGAAGACACCAAAGAAGAAAGCAACTCCCATTACCATTGACTCCTTCTTTGATAGCGACAATGAAGGCTCTTTGGGTTATACCTCACCGAGGATAGCCAGCGCAAGGAAGTCTTCTGATGATCGCAGGATCTCTTTTGAACTGGAACCTGAAGTGCGCGAGATTGCCATTGAGAATTACCAGGAGGGATTACCCAAGCGTATGTATCGTGACCCCAACAAGCAGTATGTCTTCTGGAAGGTCGATGATTTGACCGACGATCAGTCCAAGTCCGACAACACCTTCGGTTCAGTCCGAGCACGGGCCAAAGCTATCATCATGGACAGATGTGGACTCCATCGTTTTGTTGATGAAGTTAGAATCATCATTGGCCCCAAATTCGACATGTTGATCAAGCTGGACGATGATCGTGATGACTTGACTTTTACTGAAGAGCT